GGCCTGTCACCTCCGGTGCCGGCCCACCGCGACACCCCGTTCCGGGCTCCTGCAGGTCTTCTCCCTCATCGTGTTTTCCTGCCTCATCGGGGAGGGCTACACCAACGTCACCACCTCGCCCAAGCTCTTCTGCATCTTCAACCGCAACGAGGACGCCTGCCGCTACGGCATCGGCATCGGCATCCTCGCCTTCCTCGCCTGCATCTTCTTCTTCATGGTGGACGTCTACTTCCCCCAGATCAGCAATGCCACTGACCGCAAGTACCTGGTCCTGGCGGACCTCAGCTTCTCAGGTACCAGGGCCAGGGTGGCCCCGGGGCAGGGCTGGGCCGGCTGTGCACAGGCACCACTGGGCAGACAGACAATGGCTGCCCTGTCCTGCTCCCTGGGTGACGTGGCCACTGTGCCTGGTGAAGGCAGCTGCTCTGATCTCTTGGCACAGTGCCTGTGAGCCATGTGCTGCTGCTGAGCACCTAACAGCCTCCTGCCTGCTGAGAGTTGTTGTGTGGGAGGCTGATGTGAGCAGGAGCTGGCCTGCTGGGCTGCACCAGCGATGCTGGGCTGTCCTGTGATGGGTGGGGGGCCTGCCTGGGGCTGGCAGGACCCAGGCTCTGCCCCTCATGTGTGCTTCCTCCCCTAGGGCTCTGGACGTTCCTGTGGTTCATTGGCTTCTGTTTCTTGACCAACCAGTGGGCCTGGACACCGGCCACAGATGTGCATGTTGGGGCTGACTCTGCCCGAGCTGCCATCACCTTCAGCTTCTTCTCCATCTTCTCGTGGGTGAGCTATGCTGCTGTGGAGTACAGGCACTTGGCCCTGCACTGCTTGGGAGGGGACGAGGAAGGGCTCTGCAGGCTTTGCAGCCCGGGACAGGCCCTGCCACCGTGACTGCATGTGGCCCTGGTGTCTTGGGGGCTAGTGCTGGCCTCTGCCTTGGTGCCTAGCTCTTGATGGCCTCTCTCATTTCTGTAGGGGCTCCTGATCGCCTTTGCTTACAAGAGGTACAAGATGGGGGTAGAGGACTTTGCTCACAACTACGTCGACCCTACCTCAGAGGTCTCAACTCCCTACTCCAGTTACCCGAACATCAGCCATGACAGCTATCAGCAGCCACCCTTCACCCACACTGCGGAGGCCTCGGAGGGTTACCAGCCACCGCCGGTGTACTGAGCCCTGTGCCAGGCAGTCCAGCAGGGACAGCTGTACACGTGCAATTTTCTTCCATGGGGTGGGAAGGGAGGGACCTGTAACTTGAATGGGGAAGGTGGGGGGCAGAAGGGTGGTAGCTGCTTTGTGTGAAGGCCACTAGGCTTTGGTGCTGGCATGCAGGACAGACTGCCTAGTCCTCATGGAGCTGTAAGCTTTCCAGCTGGGAATCGGAGTGTAATGTGTAGCGGTGTGAGTGCTGAGTGCAGACCTGCTGCATGCCGCGAACTCTTCCTGGGAGGATACTGTTTGCAGACTCCTGTGCTGCTCTGCCTTCCTTCCTGGCCCTGGAGAGGTTGAGCTCCTTTCCTTTCTGTTGTGCCTCTGGGGAAGCAGTTGTGGGAGGAAGCAGTGCCGTGTCTGGTTTTCAGCCCTCCCAGGCCTGGCCCCTGGTTCTGGCTTTGGCTGTGCCGTTGTGACTGCTGCCCTGACCTGTCCTAACACTGTTGCCTTTGCCAGCCCTGCTGGCTTTGATTCCCTAAAGTGCCACCTTTCACTTCTTTAGTGAGTGTCTTAATCCCCAGCGCAGCTGGATGGCGCAGTCCAACTCCTGCCTGCCTTTGTGCTCTTGTGCCTTCTTCCCTTCCCTCAACTGTTGCTGGGTGAGCTTGATGCCAAAGCCTTGTGTATATAAACTTCCTTGTGCCATGCCTCCCCCCAAAGCCTGCACTTGGGCTGCTGGTGCTCACCTGAAACGGTTTGGGATCTCTGGAAGCAGCAAGCTCTGGGCTCTCTTGCAGCAGGGCGGTGGCCCCAGCCTTGTCCACAGCTCCAGCTGCTACTGAGGAAGGTCCTTGTGGAGCACCTCCGCTGCTGACTCAATCCGCAGCAGCGCCTACCTTCCTCGCTTGCCTTCCACTAGACGTGGGGTACCCAGAGAAGTCAGGCTATAGTCCTGTGTGCTGCATGCTGCTCTGAGAGCAAAGCTCTGCTCAGCAGCTCACTCTCTCCACAGGCTGAGAGCTTTGAGTTGTGCCTCTCTGCGTATGGGCTCTGCAGGCTGGGTTGTCTCAGGTTATGTTTTTCTGTTGCACCTGTTTTGAAGCTGTTCCCAGCAGCAGTGTGAGGTATGTGAGCTGTAGCTGCTGGGGCTGACATTCAAGTATTTCTTTGTTTGTCACTGTAGAGATGGAATAAACTTTTTCACTTAGCCACCATGGGCCTTTCTTTGCTGAGGAAACAAGTCTGGGTTCCTCTCCTCTCCTCTCTCCCCCCTGCTGAGGGATGGGGCAGGGGGGGTTTCAGGAGGGGAAGCTGTGCAGAGCACTGCTCTGGTCAGCTCTGGTGCTCCACAAACAGCACGCTCATGCTAGTCTAGTGCCTATTTTTAGCAAGTGTTCCCTACTGCTCCTTACGGATACTGTTTAATAGAGGATTTGCGTAGCCAGTTCACAAACAACACCCATGTGACCAGCCTTCCAGCACATGCTGCTGCTTGTATGAAAGATCAGCATGCGCTGTTTGCATAGCCTGATAAGTGAGAGCAAACCTTTGTCAGAGCGGTCTGGTAAAGAACACACACAGGCAATTCCATTAAGTTATTTATTAACCTAAAACAGTAGCAGTACTACCTTTCCCCAGTCCCCAAGGGAAAAGCCTAGGCCTGGCAGTGAAGTGCTTGTGAATAGCACAGCTGTAATGACATCAAGCAATGCAGGTGTAGGCAGATTTTTTTCAGGCAGCTCTTGTAACCTTCTGGACAGGTGCCTCTTCCTAGCTGGAGTATTTAGGTAAACAAAATAGTAGTGATAGTAGTAGACAATTTTTGAACGTGGACATTTGACCAAAGCAGCCTGAACAGAACCAGGAACTATTGTGTGGAGCCTGTGGACTCTGACCTATAGGAAAGGCACTTTTGCAAGGAGTAAATGACTTTTAGAAGCTAAGTGAAGCAAAAGGGAAGAGGATGCTTCATCCAAGCTATAGCAGAGGAAGCAGTAGGCCCAAGAATTCTTTGAAGGCTCAGGAGGGAGCAAGAGACATGACTATAATCAAGAACCGTTCACTCAAAGCAGAGACCCTTTTCCAAGTAGCTGGATTTTCACAGTAACAGTAGCCTCGTCTTATACAGGTTAAGTCCTGAGCCTCCAAGCCCTTCACAGATAGCTAAGCGTTGTGAAGTGGCAGCACCAAGCTTGGACTTAAGCAAACGTGATGTTGGAGAGGTCACTTCCTGAAGTGAGGTCTTGCTTTTCCAACAAGAGTCTGTCTTCATAGGTAGACTACTACTAGATGCAGAGGCATTTAAGTTCAAGCCTAAAAAGAGTTTAGAACACAGGTTGTCAAGCTGAGCCTTCTCTTTCCCCCACTCTGTTTTAGTAAAAACTTATAGCAAGTGAGTGTAATGGCAAGCTGACAGGCCATGCACTATTGTTAAGAGGCTGCTGTAAGTAGGGCCAGGGCACTGATACATATTTCAGTTGTATGAAAAGTTGTGCCACAGCTCCCTGAAAAGGAAAGAGATATCTCCTCAAACTATGTTAAAAAGGAAGCGTGTTTCAGGTACTGAATTACTCTACATTGTCTTAAGGAACCTGGACTTCAGCAACAGTACACAAGAGATTAAGAAACAATCCTGTTCACGTGCAAGTACAGGGACTTCTACCAGTCAGCGGCCAGTCTGAACACATGCAGAAGTCTAGGAGAACAAACTAGAAGTATTGCAAACTATTAATGCCCTGCAGCCAGGCTTGGTGCGACGGAGTTTTCCAGTACCTGCCTGTGTGGCTGCATCAGTAATTGCACCTGTCTCTTTTCAGTGTTCTAAGAAAGGGACTCCCTTTTAGTCAGGCTCCTGTTTCAGCTCCCCCCAGCATTCGGTCCAGCTGATCATCCTCTTTCTTGGCACTTGGTGCAGAGAAGCAGCAGCTTGGTTTGGCAGGTAGAGCTGAGACACTTCAGTTTTGCTAAAAGCAGGGGAAGACAGAGCTGATGTCTGGAAATTGCAGCTTTTAGTATCCCCCACTCATGTCGTTCCTATGCTGGAGCCCAAGAGTCAAGAAGCAAAGATCTTTCGGGAGGCAGGTGCATCCAACTGTTTTGCTCCCATGGGCACGTTCTCCTTGTTTTCTGACCCAGGTTGGTGAGGCCTCTTCCGGAAGTAGCAGGCACGGCAGACGGAATGATACTTATCTGCTCCTCCAATCACTTCAACCTGGCAAGAAAGATCGGGAGAGTGACCCTGCGGAGCTCAGTTCACCTAAGGAGGTTCTTTCTCCTAGAGGAGCGTGGCCAGCAAGATGAAGCTATTTAATTGCTTTGTGTTCTGGGGGGACTCACCTCCCTCTCTGCTCCCAGCCTTTTTGTGTAGGAGGCTTCTCGGTAACACTCCATGCACACAGCATTCAGCTTCACCACGCTCTCTGCCAGTGGGACCAGGTTCAGGATACTTCCAAAAGCCTGTGCCAAGAGCAGGGCAGTTCTGTTGGTTGGATTCTATGAGCTTCTTAATACAGCAGCTAAAGGAAAGTGTTCTACCTTTCTCTGGAAGGTCCCGTCAAGAGCAGCAACAATGACAGTCTTCCCAGCATTGGCCATCATCTCACAGAACTCCACGATGTCTGGGAACTAGAAAAGGTACAGAAATAGTAGCTTTGGGGGCAGAAGGGATAGCACTTAATTCAGGATCCAGCAGTATATGCCCAGGCAGTAGCACAGGGCACCAGAGTATTAGAAGAACGTGTCCTACCCAGGAGATGGACTCCAGCTCCACTGTCCTCAGCCTGCAGGGACTAAGGGAAGGGTTTGACCTCAGGAACACAGTCCAGCAGGACCAAGCTGTTCCAGGGCTATTCCCCCCGCCCAGGAGGATCCAGACCTTTTTCTGCATGGGGGTGCTCTGAAGAGACTGTACCCTGCACAACACTCCAGGACCTGCCCTGGCCTTGCACTTACAAACTGTCCCTCGTCAATGCCGATGACTGCTGAGCTCAGCGCCTCCTGGTACACGTCCTTGAGGAGACAGGCAGGAAGCGCCTCCATGGTGTTCCTGTGGAGAACAGGAGGTGAGCCAGCCAGGCTGGCCACCCAGACCCACTGGGGGCTGGTTTTTCCTGCGCAAGGGACTCACCTGTCGTGCGTGGAGACACCGGAGGTGCAGTAGCGTGTGTCCTTGGCATACTTCACCAGCAGGCACTGGTACTGAGCGAGCTGGAACCGCCGTACTCGCCGCATGAGCTCCGTGCTGCAAGAGACTGCTGTCAGCAGGCCCTGGACACCTGCCAGCTCCCTGCCCTCCCATCTGACCTGTCCCTACCTCTTTCCAGAGAACATGGGTCCGAAGATCACCTATGGGCAGAACCAGGAGGATCAGTGTACGAGAGTACAGGCCTGGCACAGGCACCGCCGGCCACCCTGTCTGCTACTGGCCTGGCCATCACCCTGCACAATCCTGGTATCCTGCCTGGCACTGACCCCACCCTGCGGCCCCTGATATCCCACCCAGTCCCGGCCCAGCAACACTCTCACCCCTGCAGCCCCGGTATCCTTCCTGGTCCCGACCCAGCCCTGGCATCCCACCTGACACTCCCTGATCCCTGTCCCCACACCCTGA